CCAGAGCCAGCTGGCAGGGAGTGCGCAGGGGTCGGGCGTGGAGTCGGGCCTGGGTGGGGCCTATTTGAAACCCCAGGGGTGGGCGGCGCTAAAATAATGAAAAACAGTCGGGGGTGCAGGTCAAAGGTTGAAAGCGAGGGAGCCGGACGGGGACACAGAGCAGAGAGCCCCGGCCAGCGCCCACGGCTCCGCCAAGCTGTCAGTGGAGCCGCCCACAGGAACTCTGCCCCGATACGTGGCCCAAGGGAGGAACGGAAATCGGCCCCCCAGTCGCAGAGCCCCCCCAGCATCCTCCTCCTGGTGTTACAGATAGCAGCTTTCGCCAAGGCCAGGAGGAGGTTGCTGAGGTCTCGTGACTTTGGGGGTCACGGATGGGCTGGGTGAAAATAAAAAGGTGAGGGGAGAAGTGCAGCCAGAACGGCAGTCGGAGGTTCTGGAGGCGCCGGAATAGGGGCGACCCGGCCCCCCAGTCGCAGAGCCCCCCCAGCATCCTCCTCCTGGTGTTACAGATAGCAGCTTTCGCCAAGGCCAGGAGGAGGTTGCTGAGGTCTCGTGACTTTGGGGGTCACGGATGGGCTGGGTGAAAATAAAAAGGTGAGGGGAGAAGTGCAGCCAGAACGGCAGTCGGAGGTTCTGGAGGCGCCGGAATAGGGGCGACCGCAACCTGGCGCATTCCAAATATGCGTGCACCAGGTTCTCCCTCACGCCGCAAAAGGGGCAGGTATCCGGAATGGGGGTGAACTGCGCCAAGTACACACCCATGCTCATGGCTCTGTGAAAGAGCCACCAACTAATGTCCCCGATGGGCTGCAGAACTAGGGTGGAATACGCACTAGCCCATCAGGGTTCCCCACCCTCTACGAGTCTTAGATAGTCCCGTCACTTGGTGTCGGGGCGGGACACGAGGGAGAGGGAGGGTAACGTGTGGCACACGCGTGTGCGCAGGTGGTCTCTGGGTGCGGGTCAGAAGCAGACTGGTTGGAAGGGGGGATGCCCCGACCAAGGCCCTGCAGACCCGCTTGGAGCACCCCCCAGGGAGCGGTGCCCGTGGGTGGAGGGGGTCCGTGCCCGTGGGGGGAGGGGGGCCGCA